CAGGAATGCTCAGCGCAGGCTGAAGACCCAGGGCGGCCAAAGTCGCCCAGGCGGTGAATTGCACTCTCGGGGCGGATGGTTCTCAGGGCAGTTCGCTGTTTTTGTGGACGTTTTAGTGTCAGCACCAACTGACTTCCCCCTCCAGCCCCAGCCAAGACGCAGATGGAGAGCATCAAGTCAGCTCGTCCTGACTCTGCTTCTTTCCCATAAGAAGCTTATATAAGGGAAAGGACTTTAGGATTTTTTTTTTATCAAGTATCACCCCATGGTTCTGCACTCAATAGTGCAGCACAAAACCGCTATTGGTATTTCTCCTGAGCGATACTGCCAGGATGAGCTTTCTAGACCACATTAGGTGTCAACTAATTAGTTATACCTCTCAAACTGCTGCAAGAGCACGAAAACGAGGCCTAACTGACACCTCTGAGACAAATCAGAGGTAACCAAAAGGCCTGGGCAGTAATACAGAAAGGCGACATAGCTTTGAATTTCATGCCTTTTGGCTTCCTACAAAGGAAGTTTCCAAAAAAATATCATTTGGGAAAAGTTCAGACATTCTATTTACATATTCATATGTGTTAAAATACATAATTAAGCCCTATTCCTCTGATAACACATCTTGCATCCACAGAAAGAATGTGGCTGTAATGGTCACTGAAAAGATCTTTAACGTTCTTCTCCTAAAAAAAAAAGTAATAATAATTTATTTTGGAACTGACAAGTCACTCGCCAAAGGGAACTCGCCACAAGTCACTCGCAAGAAGCGGCTATTCAGTGACACAAGAGCAAGGAAAGCATCAGTCAATGAGCTTTAGAGGCTCCTATAAGGAAGGAGACTTTTGGGAAAGCTTTTAAGAACCTCGCCCTCAGGCTGACATTTGCCAGCTTCCAGCCCGCAGTGCATTAACAGGAGTTTAAAGCTCTGGAGTTTCTCGTGACAACGGTCTCGCCCGTGGCAGGAGAGCAGGCCCTGCGCTGCTTACGCTCTGCTCCGGATCCGCTGCAGTATTTTGGAGGGCGGCAGCCCCGCGCGCAGGAACACGGCCCGCTGCGCCGTGGACACCAAGGTACACATTCACGTTGCTTGTTTTTGTCTGGTTGAGAGCCAGCACCTCTGGCTGCTGCTTTTGGTCGGCAAGAGAAAACAGTCGCCTTGGCAGTGGCCTCGGGCCTGGCTGCAGAGCGAAGGCGGCCCAAGCAGAAGTGAAAAGGGCTCGGGGCCTCCCTCGTGAGCACCTTTGGGTGCGATGCAGCTGGCTGGTTACGCTGCTTCTAATGCACAGGGAAACCACCCGTCCCTCCTTCCCCTGCTAAGGACGTGCTGCTCTGCCCCTGCGTGTCGCCCCGGGGAGCTTGGGGCCCAAGCTGCAAGCAGCTCCTACCTGTGGCTGGGACACAGTGGTCAAGCCCTTTCCAGCTGCCCAAGTCCTGCGTGTGCAGCAGCGAGGGAGGAGGCAGCCCGCTCCCCAGCGCGGCCCGGGCAAGGGCACAAACTCCTGCAAATCCCCAGGGACAAGAGACGAATCTGATAGCAGTGGGGCCGAGACACGGCACTCGGTCCTCAGAGCAGGATGGTAAGAGCTGGGCGCGGGTTTTCTCCATGGGGATCTCTGAGGGCGGACGGAAACAGCAACAGTTTCATATCCCCATCTTAAGAGGGCAGGGGGAGGGGAAGGGGGGTGTCCAAGGAAGTTCAGTCCATCACAGGACAAAAAACAGGATGAGCACCACCAGCAAGATAACAAAGAGGATGATAATTGCACACCACTGCCGTCGATCTGCAAGAGAAAGGAAGTGTCAGTTTTCCTACTGTAACGAGGAAGCTGGGGTAGGGGAACAGGGCTTTCCTCCCCTTAGTCCTGCTAGGATCCGGCTCCTGCTAAAGGAAACCCATGGAGAGGCAAAGGCTCCCCGGCCAGCAGGACCAGGGTGTGTCCTTCTGTCCTTCTGCAGCTTTCCCGCTCCAAAAGGGACAAGTTACCACTGCAGTCTAGCGAGGCAGCCACGCTCTTTTTCCTCCAGGATTTTTTTTTTGACAGTTATGTGAATTTTGTGGTTTCTCCTTAGCCAAATGCAGGCAGATTTGATGAGGCAGTCCAAAAGTTACTGGGAGGAACAAGCAGAGAGCTGTTGTGTGTTGCTGCTAGTTTGTTGTGTAACTTGTTTGCTAGCGAAACAAAAAGGGGGTAATGAAGAAAGGTTTCTAAAATAGCTCTGCTTGGAACAGCTTGTCTCAGCGCTCTGTCAGAGTCCCAGGAATGAGGGTTCCTCCTTCCCAGATGTCTCAGTCCACTTCTGAGGCCAGAGGAATGTTCTGCAGATGCTCGGGGCTGCATCGCCACTTGCTCGCACAGCTCCGCCAGACCCGTCCTCTTTGCAGAGGGGGCATTGGCACATGCATCACGGCAAAAAGAAGTCAGCCTGTGCTATCCCGCCTCCAAACAGAGCAGCTGGCCCTGGGAAAGCCCTCAGAGCCACCCCTGCGTCAGCCCTGCCGCTCGCGCTCGTCTTTTACGATGAGCAGAAGCACTTTGCAAAGATTAAAGCTTTTTTTTTTTTTTTTAATATTGGTGCAAAGTCAAGATAGGCAAAATTTGCCAGTGGTCGTGCTGCCCCCAAGCCCCCTGTGGCCCGAAGGAGGCGGTCAGCACTCTGGCCGGCCTGCCCCTCTACGGCTGTATTTCAATAACCCCATAATTTCCTGTCCAGCCTAATCCTGCAGAGCGGGAACGCTCGTCTCCTTCCTGACTTGCTCCCGCTTCCCAAACCGGGCCCGTCTCCGTGGAAGGGGGTGACAGGCTATGGCCCAGCGTGCACCAAGCGCCTCCGCAGCGCGCGAGGGCCGTCCCGGGACGCAGCTTATGTGTCTGCGTGCGGCTGCGAGAGCCGCCACGCTCCGGCACAGCCTTACGAGGGCTCTGGTGCGAGCTCGGCCTTCACCCCCCATCTGAAACCACCCCCGGCAGCTCCCAGCCCTCGGGTGGGCAGCTCAGGGCTCACAGGGCACTTGCTGTGGCCGAGGGCACGTGCAGGGGAGGCCACCCGGAGCCGTGGCCGTCTCGCCCGCGGGGCAGGCAGCCCGGGGAGCTGCAGCACTGCGTGGCAGCCCCTGGCATGGGCTTCCCCACCCCAGCAGCAGCAGCAGCACAGAAAGGTATCTGTAAATGCAGCAGAGCTGAGGAGAAGCTGCACAGCAGGGTCTTGGCACAAGACCAAGGTTTAGAGCACTGCCCCCATCTTTAACCTTTCAGGCACTGGCCAAAAGCTGTTCCCTCTTTTTCCTAGGTGTGGGCAGGCCGTTGGTAGGTAATAAAGAGCACGATGTGTCAGAGCCCTCAAATCCTCTGGCTTTTCTCCCTTTCCAGGACCTACCGCTTGTCATGTGGGACACTTTTGCAAGCTTCTTCATGACGTTATCAAGCCGTGACTGGGTGCTGTCTAATTCGTGAGAGAAGTCGTCCAGCATCCTGGGGGCAGAGAAGAACAGGACTAGTGAACAAGCAACATGTCCCTTGGGGATTTCTCTGCATGCCAGTGTGCACCAATGGGCGCAGCATATCAGGCCTTAGCAAAGGAAAGCAACACAGCTGGCTCTCTTGAAAGCCCTCAAGCGAAAAAGAACCTGCTCAAGCAGCAGCTTTGGTGGCAAGTGACCACAGCTGGGACTCCTGCTTGCTTCACTGATCCCACTGAGTGCACACAGGCACTTTGCAGGTGAGCTCTGCCCCCTGCAAGGTAAGGAGCGGGGTTTTTCCTCCTTCTAAGATCAAAGTCCTATTTATAATCCATGATTAGCAGACAGTGGTTAGATTTAGGCAATGTTTGGACTTTAAATCTGTTTTGTTGTTCCAGGCTTGCAGCTGAAGCAAAACTCTTGTGTCAGTCTTGTATCAAGCAAGATCTGCAATTGCTTTTCCTGTGCCTTTTGAGCTCTGCATGGAAGTTACCCATCCAATTTCTTTCCACAGCAACTGTAATGGATCTGAAAGGCTTCTGAAGCTGGGTTTTGTCAGTGGCAAGAATCTATGCCAAGACAAATGAGTACATCTAGACTCAAGGAACCCATCTTCAGTGGGAAGGACTCTGGAGCTTGCACATGCTTAAAAAGACAGCTCCCTTCATCTGCAGTTCTGGAGCACTCAAATTGCTTCCACTGACCCCCTTTTCTGTCCTCCCTTTTGGTTAAACTTTCTGTGGGGTAGAAAAGACGGTTGTAAGAGAGTCCCATTGCCTGAAGCACCTGCTAGGCTCCAGGAAGGCCTGCGTGAAGCTCTGGAAACGGACACACTGCACTGACCTGCTGCAGGACCTCACAACTGGTGTGTGGTCACTTCAAACTCCTCCTGGCCATCAAAGAAAACAGCCAGAGCCATGCAGACTATTGCCAGCCAAACAAGGAGACTTTAAGCATGAACCTAAGTTGCTAGCCTGCATAGTTGGAAACGTTATGCACCTCTTTGCAAAGGACATGCACTGGGAAAGAAATCTAATTTATATGTAAATGGGTATATGCAAGCTAGTCTGCGAGCTACCCTTTAACCCTCTGCGTGGGTGAGCATTATTTTTAGCTTTAACTATGAATAGCAGCTCTGTGTGGCAGCTTTCAAACACGGCAAGGCAGAGCTCTGAGCTACTGCGTTGTGCAACGCCAACCACGGGTGCTACCCAGGGCTAGCACAAAAACGTGTGGAGTGGGCAAGTGCCTGGTGTCCCGTACCAATGCAGGAGGGCAGGCTTTGGTACCAATGGTACGGGATAGGTACCAAGGACTGCCCTCCTGCATCTGTCCGGTGCTGCTGGGTGGCTGCAGCCTACGCAGCACAACCGCGTGCCTGAAGGGAAGGGTTTTTGGGAAGACTAGGAGAGAGGAAAGGCAGAAGGGGCCTGCCCCGGGTGCAGGCTTGCAGGGGGAGGTGGCCATGCCTGGCTCTTCGCAGAAATGCTTCCCACTGCCTCAAATCAAGGCAGTTTGGGCACTGGCAGGCAGAGCTAGGAGCAAAGGCCTAAGGGATGAGGAAATTGGAGGCCCCAACTGCAGTATCGGGTTGCCAGCGAGGGCCCCCTGCCGCAGACGTGCTGCAGCCGGCGCCCACGCGCGGGGGCTCGGCACTCACACCGCCTGCTCCTCCAGCTCGCCGCCGATGCGCTGTGACATGTTCTTCAGCACCCCGATGCTGCCGGAGACCAGCTCCAACTGCTCATCTTGCTGCTCCACGATCAGCTGGAACCAAAGAGAAGGGAGAAGGGCAGTTAGAGTCCTGCTGCTTTCTGCACCCAGGTCACACGCAGCTGCTTGGATGGACACTCACTGAACTCCATCAATTTCAACTGTGGGGCCTGGGGACAGACGTAGGCCTCCAGGAACCACGACTGCATTTCTGAGAAACGCTCGAGAACCGAGAGCAGCGCAAGAGCCTCCCCGGCTTCAGGGCACCACAGCCAGCTGCATGGGCTCTCCCACCATGCCTGCAAATTAGGCCAGCCCGCGTCCTTTCCCACCACTGTGAAGCCTTTCCAAAGCTGGAGTTCCTAGCCAGCAAAAATCTCCCTCCTTGCTGTCTTCAGCGAGCAGGGCAGGGGGTATCCGGGAGCCACACGGCTGCGGTGCCCAACGGACACAACGCAGAGCACGCTGGCTGCACGGTTAACGAAGAGTTAATGCGAGTCAAAAGCTGCTGCAGCTTCTTTGGCTAAAAATAACAAGCCTGGCTCTCAATGCGCCCAAGGAACAGGTCTGCTGATGTTTTAAGTCATTTTCAGGGCACAGTCACGCTAAGGATTAGGTTTACCCTAGTTACCTACTTCTGAGCCTGTTTATCTTCCTAGAGTCACAAGGTAAAACTCATTTGGAAGACGGAGCAGCCTGATGTGGCAGGAGCTTTGCAGTTTGCTGCCTTGGAGAAGCAGCTATTTAAGGGCCTGGGTTTGGGTGGGCTCGGGCCCCAGCACTTCTCCAAACGAATCGCACCAGCTCCAGCAAAGACTGGCACCAAGGATCCTCGCAAAGCCCCAGATTCTAGTGAACCTTGTGGTCAAAAGCAGAATAAGGAAGTAGGCACGTGCTCCAGCTGAATCTATTCTGGTGAAGATGTACAAAAACGGCAAATATCAGCTCACTTTGTAACCAGGGAAAGCTGCCCAAGGGGCATTCATCTTTCCCAACATTTATATTCTTCCAGGGATTGCTGAAATTCTTGCAATAGTCAAGCTTAGCATACTCCAGTTTTCAGATCATCTTGCCTGTCTTGCATATAGAGCAGAATACCCAGGTCTAAAGGGTTAAAACCCCTTTGCCAAAGCCACCCTGAGCAGGGAATGCGCACACTGGTCTATACTGCAGCTAAGCAGTGGGTTATCAGGCTCCTGGCCTCAGACCAGCTGGGGAGTGGATGGGTTTTTCATTATTTATTTGCTCTTGCAGCTTGTGCACCACGAACCTGGCATACGCTTGGCAAGCAGGACGTTCAGCTGACACTGTGCAGGGGCTGCCTTACCTGTTGTTGAGCTTGTTGTTCCTCAATGAAGTGCGAATTTGCTAACTGCAGATCCCGGTCCAGGCGGCTGTATTTGTCAGGTCCAGAGCTCCAGCTCTGACTTCCACTTTCTCCCAGGAGTGCCTAAACAGATGCAGAGAGCCCTTAGCAAGACCTCTGTGCCTCTTTGCCGCCCGTCTGCTGGGTGTAGTGGGAAAGTGGAAACTCCTGTATAAACACACGCACAGCAGCACCCTTTTCCTGCCCGCTCAGCCCGAGTGCCAACCTCAGGAAACTCTGCAGCCCGGTTGCTGCAGATCCCCCTGGATCTGCAAGGGGTCCCCTGGCAAGGGCACAGCCGGAGTGTGATGGGATGCACAAGCAGGATGTCTGCAGGAGTGCAAAGGCCGCCCACAGTGCGGTGCTGAGTGCCAGGAGGACATGCAAGCTGGGAAGCATCCATGTATTTCGTGCTAACGGATGCACTGCATGAGCTGCACACTGTGCTAAGAATGACGGGGGCTTAAGAGGATGTGGATAGAGGACTCGACCTGTTGAGCACGACGACTGACAGTGCAAAACTGCAGAATGTACACAGTGCAGTGCTGTATGCAGGACTCGGGTCCTTTGATTCAAGTTACCTGCTCCCCCTGCACACCGTTTACAAGAGTCACAAGCTTACACTTGCTTGATGGAAAAGCATGCGCAGGGCCGATGGAGAAGAGGTCCCTGTAGCTCAGAAATCCGATCCCTGGAACAGGTAACGCAAGTGACGGCTGCTGGAGAGGCAGCTGTGGCGGGAGGCGAGGAGCTGCCACTCGGGAAGCTCCTCGAGAGGCGTGGGAGGGCGAGATGAGGACATTTTGCAGCTTCTGAATGCGGGCAGCCGAAGTGATGGGGACAATGGTGTCTTTGTGACGAGCAGCCAGGCACGGACCAGGCAACTAAGGTTAAACACGAGACGGGCTCTATGGTTCAGCTGCTTTATAAAGGTCGGGGAGGGCAGTGAAAGCCGTGAGGGAGCACGCAGGACGCCACACAAACATCTGTTCTCGTCCGCCCCCGAGGTGCTGCACAAGGGCCGGGTGCTCCCCAGTTCGGGGCCAGCACTGCGACCACTAATTGAGCACGGAGCACTAGCTGTGCTTGAGTCGCCGGTGCTTCCCAAGCTCAGCTTAGCGCCGTGGGCGTCAGGTCAGTGCAGAGGCCCTGTGGAGCACCCCGAGCAGCCCAGCACAGCTCGGGCTGCACTCTGAAGGGAAGGGCAGCTAATGGGGGAAGGGGGAGGAAGGGACCAGGAGGAATCAGTTTTCTTGAGCAGATGTCACTGCATGCACTGGGCCATATGGCCTTCTACAGCTAGCAGGGGCCTCGAGGAAAGGAAAGCAGCAAAATGTCTGCGCAGGGCCATTAAGGACTCTGCTTCTTCAAGAGTTTTCCAAGCATGTTAATCAACCCTGCAGCAAGCTCGGGAATTAGCTCTGTCTTCCTCAGCAGAGTTCCAGAGTTTGTCATTTTTCCTACAAGCGATAACACTGATCCAGTCAGGTGAGTCTGTAGTATGAAGTGCAAACCAACTATTACAAGAAGCAGCTTTGGAAGTTGACTTGGAGAGGAGGAAAAGCTCCTTCTATTACTTAGTATGGGCAATGTGAGACTCCCTGAACTTCTTGCACCTTCTTAGGAGGTTAACTATCACAAGATGTTGTTATTTTTAAGAATACACAGCATCCTGGCTCCCAAATACAGCAGAGCACAGGATTTCACTTATCGCCTTGGACTCTGGCTCTGCTCCTGCTGCGGAGGAGGGAGATTCCCTTTGGTGAAGGGTGATGCAACCCTGGCAGTTGTACACAGTCAGTGCTGATGGCAGAGACAGATGGTGAGTGGTAACCGATTACTCTGAGACAGGTTTGGAAGAGGGTGACAGCAACGTGCCTGGGAGAGCCAGCTCTCACGGGCTCTGGAATGACAGGTCAGCAAAACAGACACCGCTCAAACACTCAGCTTTGTTACAACACGTAAATGCCTTGCAGCAAAAATCTTTTCAGGAGATGAGCTACAAAACGGGATATACACTGTAAGTGCAGCTTTTAAGCTGCTTTGTTCAACACTATACACTCTACCTCGGGATGTAGTGTGGGCCCCGGAGTAAGTGAAAATGAAAGTTTCATGCAATACCTTAAAACAACAGCTGCTAAAGTTGACGAATCCTCCTCATACTTTAAAGTGTCAAAAAACAAACAAACAAACAACTACTGCATTCACTTAACTTGCCTGTTTCTGAAACTCACCTGCCTGTTTTTTTTTTCAGCCAGTGCTTGCATGGAGGAGTTTGACATCTGATCCTTCATTTCCTGTTTGTTCAGGGAAAGAAGAACCATGTCAGCATCAGATGTGAGCGACAGGCCGCTTCAGTTTGCTGCCATGCAGTCTATGCCCAGGGAGATTTCTTGTCTTGTTGTGGGGGAGCAGGGGATTTTCCTAAAAACCGCAGCCCGTTCTGGAAGGATGCTGAAGAAAGTTCCATCACAGTTCATAGTCGAGATGCAATCATTTGTAACAGGTTATTTTGAAAATATTACTTATTTACTACTAGTTTTGCTGCTCTGCAGCCAGAAACTCTTGGATTTATGTAGGATTAAACTCATCTTCCCATTAACACACTGTAAAGAAGTGTTATGCTCTTGTCTTGAAGGAGCTGGAAGCCTGTAAGCTGCACGTTATTCCCAATTACCTCCAGTTTCACCCAGCATAGGCCAAGGCAGATTTCTAGACCTATGGCAATCCTCTCTGACTATGCCTGGAATTCTCTATTATGAATTAAGCTTTGTTCTTAAGAAAGTAAGAGCTGGCTGGTCATCATCAAAGGCTCCCAAGCACTTTGTAAAGTAGCTCACTTGTTGCACGATAGATGATGAAAGAGTCCATATGACCTAGCCAGGTTTGCTCCACCTCATCCACCAGCACAGTTCTGACTTCACCACGACATGCAGGTGTGTTTTGCTGTTCAGAGATATACAACACATCTTCCAGGAGCACCAGAACCCACTCGGCCACTTGTCAGCAGCTAATGCACATGTTGCTATGGATAATGCCATGAAAAACTTTCATTTAACAGTAGCCAGAGGAATGCAGCCTGAAAAAAAAGAGGACCATAAACCAGGCTGGACTGATCTGGCTCGTCTGGGCAGTAGGCTGCACTGAGAGCAGGTTGGCAAGCACATGCCCACTGCTCGGGGCTGTCACTGCCTCGGGATCTCCTCCGGAGCAGCAAGCCTTGGGAATTGTATCCAGCCCACAGCATTACAGGCAGGATAGCAAGCTTGCTTCTAGCCAGAGCAATGCATTTTATGCAGCAGAAACATCCAAGTCATGAGGGGCAGCAGAAACTAAGCCATATTGCCAGAGAGTGCTACATTAATACGGAGAAAACTTTCTAACTAGCAGTTTGTTATCAGGCTTTCAGAAAGATGCTTTTTCCCCATTTATTACCATCAAGTGTTTGAAATCTCTCTCCGCGTTCTGAATCCTAAAAGCCTAAAGCAACATGAGCAAATGTTGCTCCCTTTGCAGCCCATAGCACGTGTCTTCCCACTTCAGCCCCGCCTGCAGCTCTGCCCTTTGTGAAACTGCTGCCCAGGAGGCAGAGCTTTGCCAGGCCACCTCTGTTCGAAGGGCTCGGATTTAAAAGCACGAGTCTGAACCAAATAACCCCAACTTCCTTCAGTTAAAAATAAAAACTAGCAGCTGTTATGACTGTTCTGCAGCAGTAGGAAGTTGAAGCCACCATGTAAATAACGCTACTGAGTGTTCAAAGAGGGCCTTCTGTTTTTGAAAACTAGTGATACAAGTAAAAGACAGTTACTATTTCTTATAATTCTGAAGGGAGACTCCAGTTTCCCCTGGATAACAGAGGGATCTGGGGCCTTCATTTCCAGCATTTCCAGGCCCATCGTTACAAGAGACATTTGAGGACTTAAAGCAGCAGCTGAAAGGCCCAGATAGGGGATGCAACGAGGCCTCTGCATCCTCGGGGACACCCGTGGAGGCAGCACACAGGGAACAGGAAGAAGCCCAAGAGAGGAGGTAACAGGTCTCTGCTCTGCTGCCGAGGAAAGCAGCTTGGGTTGTTCCTTACCCTGACCACCTGCCGCGTGCTCGTGATGAAGGCTTTGCGTATGCCCAGCTCGGTGGCATCGAGGTTGAATTTCCGAGGGTTGGCCTCCACAATGCCTGGGCGACAAGTCAAGGAATCGCCGTGCTCAGGGTGCAGCACGCACGCGAACGCCGAAACCCTGAGCGCCACCAAGGAACCCGTCACGCAGCACAGCTCCCCGCCTTGACCCGCGCTTTCTTCCTCAAAATTCAAGTGGCAGAGTGCAGGACGCTAAAGGGAAAAAGCATGCGAGAGGGAAGCCTCACACGGGCCTGGGTTTGGGTTGTCTGGTGCAGGAGGGTTCAGTGGGACACAAGGGAAAAGTAGCATTTCTGGAAGCCAGCCCGGAGCAGGGCTGACGGCTCAGAAACCCAAGCGCATTCAGCAGAGCAGGCTTCTTGCGACGAAGCATCTTAAACACACCTCGTCAAAAGGAAGGGAAAAGCACACGGAGAAATTTGTTTGCAGAACATGTTTTGTCATCTTCCTCTCTCGGTTGCAATTTGAAAAAAAATGGGGTAAGCTGAAAATTCAATGCTAAGTGGTCTTGGTTTCTGCAAAAGGTAACTACTGCACTAGCTCTTGACTGCTTATTACACAGTGGGAACTGCATGTCCCTACCCCCAAAGACTGCACCGCCAGCACAAAAAGGATATTAATTGTTTCATCCAGGTCTTCCAAGTCCCACTCAATGCTCCGCAAATTGTTCCGGAGCTCATTAGTGGTCCAGTCGATTTCTTCTCTTGTGGCTATAGAGGGTTCTTGCAAGAGCTCTGTCCACCTCTGGAAGAGCCCCTGGGCAGTATTCACTGCTTTCTGCACCTCCCTGCAGTCAGGATGATTAAAGAGAAGTGAAGGGATTATCATCATTTAGAAAAAAAAAATTAGCAGTCACGTTGGGACATTCCCCTGTCCAGCAGAGCAGGGAACTGCAATCTCCTCGCAAATAACTGCACTGCAAATGTTTTAGTTTACGTTGTAAAATATGGACTCCCTGTACTTGTGGACAACGCCTCTCCTTCCATGCTACAGCATGAAGAGCAACAGTTTACAATTCAGCTACCAGAGTTAACTATGGGGCCTTCTTCTCCAGGGGAGGTTTCCAGCAAGCGTCACAGAACACCAGACAGGCAGTGCAATGGCCTGAGCAACACTCTTCTGCAGCCATCACTATTTTGCATTTCTCCCAACATCATTCCTCCAAAGACCATGGACCGCCTAGGCCGAAAGCAAAGAGAATGACAAGAACTACCCCCGCACTACAGTCGCACAGACCGTCCAGCGCAGTGCTGCTTGTTCTAGCACCGAGGGAAGCCCCCGGCTCCTGCACGCAGGCTTAGCAAACAGAGCTCTGCTGCTCTCCGCTTTGCAGGGTGAGCGCAGCCGCAGCAGGGGATGGAGGCCGCTGGCAGCACTTTCTCCGCCCCGGTTCCTCTTGCGTCTCGCACACTTATGGGTTGGTGTTTGCTGCGTCTCCTTCCCTAAAGCCGGCAGCGCAGACCAAGATCTCGTGGGGTTTGTTTCCTCTGCTGCCTGCGAGCAGAGGCGCTGGAGGAAGTGCCGCCAAGCGGGAGCTGGGAGTGGAGGTGGATGTTTGTGGAGGGGAGGAGTCCCGAGCCCAAGGAAAGCGAAGTGAAGGAAGCCCGGCCAACCTGCGGGCGAACACCCGACATCCCGGGCGGCAGCGCTTCCCGCTGCGCTCCCACGCCTCCCCTCGCGGCGCGGGCGCCTCTCCCAGCACTTTGGCGGGATGCTCGCTCCCCTCCCTCGGCATTGGGGTTCTCTGGGGCGCCAGCATCACCCGCGCCACCCTTCTCCCCTCACGGCGGCCCTTCCCTGTTGGGATCCTGCCGCGCTCCCCGGCCCCGGCCGTGTCCTCGCGGGTTCCCCGCCGCACCGTGCTGCGTTTTTTGAGGCCGAGGCTCTTGGCCCTGCTAACCGCAGCTGCCCCCCGCACTTGCAGCCTCCCTTCCCGGGCGCCGCAGGGTTTCCGCGGGGATGCCCGGGCACGGGCGGCTCGGGAGGCATCGCCACGGCCCTCGTGCCGCCAGCAGGGCCCGACACCGACACCTGCGCGGCCCTTGAGCACCTCGGGGCTTCGCAGAGCGCTTTTGGTCGGGGGGCTGTTTTATGTCTTGCATTTTTAATTTTGGGGGGTTTTGATTTTTTTTATCTGGGTTTTGATCTGTTTTGATTT